ACATTGGACCCCTTGCTGCAGCATCATGGGCACTTTCAGTTCATCTCCTCGGTGGTCGATTCATCGCAGCCCCGTCTTCGGCTTCCATCCGGCGCGTGGGATGGAAAGCGCTGCGCGCTGCAGGGGCCCTCTGGGCCCTCTGGCGCTCAACAAGAGTCCGATGCGGTTGCGATTCAGTTGTCCAAACCATTCAAGACCATTGTTGCTGGAGCCATCGCTGTCGCGACCGCGGGGTCCCCGAGCGGCGCCAGCTCCGCTGTTGCGGAGACCCCGCTATGGCGCGGTTTGAAGAACCTCCCACAGTCACGCCGTAGTCTGTGTAACTGCATCTGAAAGTCCGTTGACCTCCATGCCATACGTGGCTGCTGGCCGGGCTCCTGTGCGGTGTGTCTCACCAGTCTTGTGAGTCTGTTGCCCGGGAAGTCGTCGTCGGTAGCGCCTAAGCTTTCTCAGACGTAGCCGGTGAACTCGCAGTCTGTCGTGGTGCTCTTCGTCTCGTGTGCTTGGCCAGCCGTCGTCGTCCGCCTGTGCGGTCGGCGCCCAGGTCGGTGGCCCTCCGCTGTTTCAGGTTTAGCTCTAGGCCCAGCTGCTCGACGACTTCCTGGTTGATGCTGACGGAGCTGGCGACGACCGCCAGCTTCTCATTGAGTCTCGCTCCCAGGCGCTTGGCGTTGGCGAAGAAGTCTTACCCAGCGCGCGCTGCCCGTGAAATCGCGCTGTCCTTTTTGCCACCGTTGACACCCGGCGATCGCCGATGTAGGGCGATAACCCCACCAGGGTGCGAGGGGTGACGCACTGGTCATACTGCTTTAGAGCATGCGCCTTGAGGACCAAGTCGGCGCAGCCGCCCCCGGCAGGAAGCCCATCATGCGCATGGCGAGGTCGCGTTCCATGGCGTTGGCGAAGACGCATGGTTCGTTGCCCATTCCATTAGTTCTAGGTCACCTTCGCCATCGCCATAGGCATGCCCAGTCCTGCCAGCTTATCCCGATCTTTATCCGGGGAGATGGTCTCGTAGTACTTGCTGTAGGGTGCGATGATAGTGGCTGTGCGGCGCCTAATGGGTACGTTCTGCTCTGCAGCCGCAGCCAGGATCCAGGCGCTGTCAATCGCGCTCTCGTTCTGTGCCGCGTCCCAAAATCGGACGCGCCCCAAAAGGGACGCGCCAACTGCTGCTGTGTATGTGACAGTGCTGGTTTCCACAGACGCTGCAGTGCTCGGCGTGCCATTGAATGCGCTATTCTCAGCCTGTGTTCGCCTGCTGCCGTGGGTAACATCGGCATCACCATCCACGTGAGTTGTGTCGGGAAGACTCCTTGCGCTTCACGCGCCAGCATGATGTCCCACAGAATTTCCAGCGCGTCGTCGTTCAGGTGCTGCAGGTGGGCAGGGTGGAAACCGTCGAGGCTACTGGAGGTCTTCGCGCTTATAGAGTTGAAGGCCCTTTTGATGTCCGCTGGTGTCGGACGATCTAGGGTGGGTCGGTCAGGGATCCACGCCTCTGGGGCTGCCGTTGTAGCCCTCCGAAGTGCTGCATGCTTTTCCTCCATAGCCTTCGCGATGTAGTGCGGGTGTCCTGCGACGCCGTGCTCACATTTATTGACTGTAGTAGGTGTCGGCACGTCTCTCACCCAGGTAAGACGACGGAACTTGCCTGCACCTCCAGCGCACGCACCATCACACCATTCTTTCCAGCGTCTGTTGGAATCCTTGTTGGCGAGCTGCATGGCGTAGTTGATGTTCTCATCAAAGTCCTCCAAGAGGTGGGTGATGTCATCGCGTGTGCACGCCCTTTGGACCGCCCGCCTTTCCTGCTGCACAGAAGAGTCCAATCGCGCGCTGCGATTATGTCCGACATACTCTGCAGCGATGAAGCCCTGCACCTCACCATCGTACGCGAGTCGTCCCGCAGCATGTTGAGCTCCATCTTCTGCAGTGACCAACCCATGCGTACTGTCCTGAAGCCTCTTCCAGCCACCCGCAATAGCCTGCACCTCATCATCAGACACACTCAACTGAGAACGCTCTACCGATTTTGGTTGCAGCGAGCGAGCATCGGAACTTGCCTTGATATCAGTGCTGGCGGGGCGTCCACCACGCATCGCAGCCCGAACAGCCCATCTACTCCACGCCTTAGGTAGGAAACGCCATGCTACCGTCGCTGCCTCCTCCTTGGCCACGCGCAGGGCTTCCACTGCAAATCCTCGGCCCAGTGACCAAGTATCCTCCTCCAGGAAAGGGCCGTGCACCCCCTGGGAAGTGATCTTCGCCCTTCCAATTTACAGTACATTGCTGCCTTCCGCGACGAGTTGCAGTTGCACTGGTCGGCGTGGTTTCGTAATTCATCCAAGGTCCGCGCTGCATTTGACCAACATTCTCATGGCTCCATCTGAGAGCCCGAAGTAGTCTGGCGTGGTGAGGCTTGATGCCGTCCTGCAAGTAGGGTGACGCGGTACCGCCGACTCCAGTTGCGCCTGCACGGGGAACCTGGAGTCGCGCACCATCTGTGGATCCATGTTCCAGTCGCAACCTGCGATGCTGGGGCACTGCCGCCCCGTCATGGCGAGTCCCACCGCCATGAGGATCTCCGCGTTGCGCATGCGCATGCCTTCTGCCGCGTGCAGGTAGATGTTAAAGACGCTCATGGGCGGCCAATGCGGCAGCTCCACGTCCACATGCTGCACTCTACCTGCAACCAGCTCCGTGCCGTTGGCGATCCTAGCACTCACGTCTCCTACACGGCGTTGTGGAGCTTCATTTGGGTAAGTCGGTCTTCGAAGCCAGAATTTTTCCCGCGCGAACACTGCAAGCCCTGCTGATGGTAGGTGTCCCATGGCCGCCTGACCTGGCACAACTAAGCATTGCCTTCCGTGCGCTGTGGACCACGAGTTTTGACTCTCGCAGTCGTCGATAGCATGGCCGATCCCTTGTGCCAAGATGACCATTGCAGTACAACGTCGAAGCCGTCGCTGCAGTGTCTTCTTACCCTGGTTCGCGTGAGCGTCTCGGAGGTGCGCGTCGTCCTGAGCAGCTCGGGAATCTCCTGGAGTGGTGGGCGCGGACCATGCAGACGAAGCCGACTGACCCGCGGTCGAGCGTCACCCGCCCGGCCCGCCACTTGTGCGTACAGATCCGTCTGCAGTCCTGCAGGCTTGGTGTTCTGCACGCTGGTGACTGCCTTCTCGAGCTGCTCCTTCGTCCAGGTTGATGGCTGCTGGCCGTCCTTGTGGAGCTGCGCCCAGAGCTGCTCAACGTCCCCCTTGACCAGGGCCGCGGATTGGACGTCTCCTGCTCCGCGCTTTTCAGCTCGACCGTGGAGGTGATCCTCGTGCATGGGGCCAGTGCTTTCTGCTTCCTGCTCTCCAGGTTGCTCGCTGCCGTCATAGCCATGATCAGGAACAGGAATAGTAGCAGCCGATGAGGCCAGCTTCCCTTCGACCTTCCTGCACAAGGCCTCCCTGATCGTCCCGATGCGGAGGCTGGCCTTGAACGCCGCCAGCGCCTCTTTCGCCGCAGGAGCTCGGAGCAGTGCATCGTCGGAGTCGAACTCGATGGTGTCTTCCGCCGCGAAGCTGGCCAGCTTCGTCTTCGCCGTCGGCTGTTTACCTCACGCTGCCAGCAGCGCGCGCTCCTGCTTGTCTGCCTCTAGCTCGAAGACCTCCACTTCGGCACGCTTTGCCGTGATGGCCTCCTTCTCCTGGATCTATTCGGTGGCATTCGCGAGCTGTTTCTGCAAGCTCTTGAGGTCGCTCTCGTACCTGTCCAGCTGCTGCCTGCATTTCGTCAGCTTCTGTGTTGTGGCTTTGTGCGCAGCACCTGGGGGGCGAAGTGCCCGCGCTTGCTGTCGTAGGTCCTCGAGCGCACGTTGGTGAAGAAAGTGCAGTGGCCCTCCGTCCTCCTCCACCTTGCTGCACTCCTTGGGGCCCTTCTCATGGTAGTTGGTCTTCTCCTGCAGGGCGGCCCGCTGGTGGTGGCTGGGCTTGTCGCCGTCCTGCTCCCCCTTGGACCACGCACTTGGCTTGGCCGCAGCTGCTCCCGTGCCAGGTGCCAAAGTCTTCTTGGCGAGCCTGACCACCTGCTGCGCGAGCGCCCTCATCTGCTCCTCCGTGCCGACGTACTCCTTGGACTACGGGGCGAGCTTGCGTACCATCTGTCCTAAGGTAGCAGCACCCGCCCCTGCAGGACGTGGTGGGTCTCTTCCGACACGAAGGTCCTGATCCGCCGGCTTGGCAGCATCGACCACGCGCCGCGGAGCCGACTTCCCGCAGGAGCACGTGTTGCGGGAGGCCTAGCTGTTCGCCTTGCCGCAGAAGCAGCCCCAGAACGGCGTCTTGGGGCCACGCAGCACCCGCAGATCGGGGGGGGCCAGGCGCCATCCTGCCCGGCGAAGAGCCGTGGTGTTCCTCCGGCCGCTTCGCCGCTCGCCACGGGCGCTCCTGCAGCGCGGGCGAGGGCCTGCCAGACCAGGCGCGGAGGAGGGCGCGGTCCTCCGCGCGGCGCGGGCGCGGCCTGTGGTGCGCCGCCGCCTCCCGTGGTGGCGGCGCCGTGGGCGTTGGTCCCAGCGCGCGATGGGGTGTGGGGGGGGGGGGGCGCTCCTCGCCTGCCAGGCAGGCACCCAGGCGGGGTCCTCCTCTCGGAGCCGAAGCTAGGAGGAGGAGGAGGGAGGGAGGAGGGAGGAGGAGGAGGAGGAGGAAGGAGGAGGAGGAGGAGGAGGCGGAGGAGGAGGAGGAGGTGGAGGGAGGAGGAGGAGGAGGAGGAGGAGGAGGAGGAGGGGGAGGAGGAGGGGGAGGAGGGGGAGAGGAGGAGGAGGAGGAGGAGGAGGAGGCGGAGGAGGAGGAGGAGGAGGAGGGAGAGGAGGAGGAGGAGGAGGAGGCGGAGGAGGAGGACGAGGAGGAGGAGGAGGAGGACGAGAAGGAGGAGGAGGAGGAGGAGGAGGAGGAGGAGGAGGAAGGGGGGAGAAGGAGCGGAGGAGGTCGGCGCCCCTTCCCCCCTTGTGACGAGCCGGGCAGGACCGTGTGACCCAGGCCAACATCGCCGCGGAGCTCAAGTGCAACGTGGACGGGGCTCCGGGCGAAGCTCGGCGGCGAGCGCGGGGGGGGAAGGGAGAAGGATCAGTTCGGTAGCAAATCATGGGAGCCTGGTATACCCTATCAATTCCGCCTGTAGCGTCGACTAGCGCCTGGGAGTGGACGAGATAGCGCCGGTTTAGCGTTGGTTAGGGTCGATAAGCGTCGAAGTATTGTCGACTAGCGTCGATGAGCGCTGATTCGCAAGACCCGACGAGATGCTATGGAAGGCTCCCGTGAGCTGCCACCGAATATAAAGCCTTCTCAGAAGGATTGGAGGTCCCCCGGCCTTCCGAGACGTGTTCTAAGCTGCCCCTGAAGGCGCAGAAGACCTATCAGAAGGCGCGAGGGCTTCTGAGAAGCCACGCCGCCTGATGGGAAGGTCTTCTCCTTCTCACGTTCCCCCCTCGCTCGCCACCGATGTTGGGGGGGGGGGGGGCGGACTTCCCCAGGCCTCGGGCGGACTGGCGTTTCCATCTCGGTCTGCGTGCTGTTTTATCGATCTTGGTCCCCAGGATCGGACTCCGAGCTGAGCTGGGGCGAACAGCATCGGACACCAAACCCTGGGAAAGAGGTCGATACCTCGGGGGGCTCTTCGGACGCACCCCGCATCGAGGATGGCCCCCTCCACCCTCGCGCGTTCCCGAGATGCGTCTAAGGTCTAAGGCTAGGGGAGCGAAGAGTGACACAACATAAAAACTCGGAGGTCCGCGCGGACTTCCCGGATCGGCGCTGGACCCAGGGTCGCCATGCATCCCGTGGATTTCCTTCGGGGATCATCCGTTAAAATTGGAACGATACAGAGAAGATTAGCATGGCCCCTTCGCAAGGATGGCACGCACAAATCGAGAAGTGGATACATGTTTTCTTACGGGTCGCCATGCACCCCGTGAGAGGAGGGCGGCTCGCTGCGCCTCTCCGCCTGCCTCCGCGCCACTGTCCACTTCCGTCTTACACGGCCCGGGGCCTGCCCTCGCAGCAGCGCCGCCCCGCAGGCTGGGCGCGCGCCCTGCGGGGCCGCGGTTGCGCTGGTCTCGGTCAAACGGCCCCTAAGATCCCTTGCGGTGCAATTTTTTCGAGCCGGGCGTTTTCTCGCTCGACTTGGGGCCCCGGGGTCCTCACAGATCGATGCGGCTCGAAGAAGGACGCAGACAGATGGGGTCCAGAGGTTCGGGCTTGATGTTTGGCTATGTGCTGCATTTTTTCCTCACCTCTGATCTCAGGGGCCTCTTCTTCGCCACGGGGGCAGAGGGTCCCGAGGGAAACGGGTCCTGCGGTGTTTCACCGTTTCCGGGCTCTCGCGGCCCTCCACGGGCCACCGGACGGTCAGAAGACGACTCAGGATGAAGAGCTCGTCCTGGGGGGAAGGCCCTTTGGATCCAGGACCCGTCTCCCGCAGGACCCGTTTCCCCCAGGGTTCCACCTGAACGGTGTGTTAGCGATCTCGTGGGCCCTTTTCGTTTTGATTGTGTTTCTGCTGCAGCAAAGCAGGAACGAGGACAGAACGAGGGAAAACAACAAAACGAAAACGAACAACACGGTTTAGGTCGAGCCCTGGTTTCCCCCGTGCTAATTTCGGGGAAACGTAAGACTCGAATAAGCCGGAACTCGGGTTTGCCGACGCTTATTTACGAGAGCACCCTGGATTTTGACGGTCCGATTTTCGTGGGATGTCTGCACTGGGAGCTCGCGCCACGTTTCCGACTGGGTCTCGTCGTTTTCATGATGGCCCCGTCAGGCCAACCCGAGTCCCACGTACACGAGTCTTACGTTTAAGTCGGGCCCGCCCTCCAGGAGGAATATTCAAAAATAGTCACAAAATTAGTATGGGGACGATGTTTCCAGTATTTTTAACTATTCTTGATTTTTTGTTTGCGTCTGTTTTTTGTCCAGGATCCACCTGTAGGAGGACATGCCCGACCTAATCTTACGTCTCCCCGACAATTCCCCCACCCCTGGGGCGACCGAACCTATGCATATCCGCTGGGCGCTCTTGGGGTCGTGGTCGGGGCCTCTTGGGCCCCTCTTGGCGCGCTTTTGGGTCATCTTGGGGCCATCTTGAGGCCTCAAAAGCGCATCGGAAGCGAAGAGGCGAAAAGACAACAATCAATGAACTTCCCAAGGTTGTTGAAGGATTTTGGCTTCTCGGGGAGGTCCTGAAGGGTTTCCAAAAACACTTGGATCCGTCTTGTGGCCCTCTTGGGGCCTGCTGAAGGCATGTCGGAAGCCATCTTGAACCATGCTTGGTTATCTTTAGCGATCTTGGAGGCCATCTTGGGCTCTCTGAGGCCCTCTTGGAGCCATCTTGGGCCATCTCGAGCGCTCCAATTGCTCGCGACCCCCCCCGTCCAGGTCCAGGGGAGGGGGTAGGGGGAGGGGTCAACCCCTCCCAGAAGGGGAAAAGGGGGCTTTGGAAGAGGAAAGAAGAACTTCGTTAGACCACCTGCGCCCAAAGGGCTGGAGGGATTTGGGGGGTCCAGGGGTGGGGGGGGCATTTTGCGACGCAAGGGTTCGAACTTATTGTCCATATGCGGACCTTTTGCCCTCCTTCCGCCTCGTCTGAAGGGTCCACGCTTCACTGCCGCAGCCACCAGTGTGTACGCTCTCCTGGCATGGCCAGGGAGGCACATGCACCGCTCCTCTGCCCAGGATTGGCAAGGCTTGGGGCAGTGGATATATATATATATATATATATATATATTATATATATTATATGTATATATATATATATGTATGTGTATATGATGTTGCACACGTGCATGCATGCATGCATGCATGCATGCATGCATACATCATATATATATATATGTATATATAACCTCTATATATATAAAAAGACGTCGTAGCCATCCGCCCTTCTCGCCCTCCCTCCGCCTCGTCTGAGGGGCCCACTTTGCACTGCCACCGCTCTGGGCCAGGCGGCGCTGCCCTGCATTGGTGCGTTGTTGGACGGGGCGCCGGCCGCGCCTAGCGAAGCACCACCGCGGGTCAGCCGCCCACTGGTCAGAAATGTGTGGTGGTGGTGGTGGTGAAGAAGAAGACGCAGAAGACGCATCAGAAGAATATGAACTGGACCCACCACCGTCCCTTCTCTCCCCCACCCTTCCTCGTCCTCATTCCTCCTCCTCCTCATCATCCTCCTCGTCACAAGGGGGGAAGGGGCGCCGACCTCCTCCGCTCCTTCTCCCCCCTTCCTCCTCCGCCTCCTCCTCCTCAGCCTCCTCCTCCTCCTCCTCCTCCTCCTCCTCCTCCTCCTCTTCCGCCCGCCGCCCCTTTGGAAGGGTGTGATGAGGGGGGGCACGGCGCCGATCCCAGAGGTGGAACCGCCCCCCCCCTCCCGTCGGCCAGGCGCAAGAGTGACCCCTCGCCGGCGTGACGTTTGGAGCGGGACCCCCAGCGCTCGCCTGCGCGCCCGGCTTTGCCCCCCCCCCCCCCCCCCGCTACCCCCCTATCCCCCAGCGGTCCCGTACGCCGCGCACCAGAGGTCACGCTTGCCAAGGGCCGCCCATGCGCGCGTGCAGCCAACCCTCATCCGCCTACCAGTGACTTCCCTGTGTCTTCCCTTTCTCGCCTCCCTCGGAGGGTTCCGCCCATCCCTCCCCCTTCTCCCCCGTTCTTCTCCCCTCTCCTCCCTTCCCCTCCTCCTGCTGCCTTACTCTGCCCTTCCTCTCCCGTCTCCTCCTCCTCTGCCCCACCACCCGCCTCTCTTCATCTCTCCCTGCGCCCCACCCTTCATCCCTCACATCCCCTTTCCCTCACCTCCCTCTCGTGCCTCCCTCTTCCCCTCCTCCTCCTCCTCCTCCTCCTCCTCCTCCTCCTCCTCCTCCTCCTCCTCCTCCTCCTCCCGCAGAGCTCGTGAGGTGTTGGCGTTGAGCTCAAACAAATTGTCCTCCTTCTCCTCCTCCTCCTCCTCCTCCTCCTCCTCCTCCTCCTCCTCCTCCCATCTTCCCTCGTTCTCTGCTCTCTCTCTCTCTCTCTCTCTCTCTCTCCTGCCTCCGCCGTCGCCTCTCCCCCCCCCCTCCTTGAAACCTTCCGTCGTCCTCGGGGTTCGCCCGCTCGCCCGCTCGCCCGGGGCAGGCGGGGGGGGGGCGGGGGCGTGAGGAGCACCTCGGGAACACCGTGGTGGACCGCCTGGAGACGATGGAGGCGCGGCCCAGGGGCGTCCAGCGGCGCGTGCGGGAGGGGGCGGAGGAGGCAGGCCCCCGCCTCCAGTGCAATCGCGCGGGGCCGTCTGCGGATCGCTTCTCCTCCTTTCCCCTTCCTCCTCTCCTCCCTCCCCCTTTCTTTTATCCTGTCTCCTGCTCCCTCCATCTCCTCGTCCTCCTCCTCCTTCTCCTCCTCCTCCCCCCCTCGTTCCCTCCTCCTTCTCCTCCTCCTCCTCCTCATCATCCTCAGTGCCCATCTCATGACCAGCGCTTCCCCTGCCGCACCCCCACGACTTGCCGGTCGGGCGCGTCGGGCGTTGTTCGTTCGAGACGTCTTTTTACCAGTGTGCGCAACTCACTGAGACCTCCTGGAGCTCGAAGTGTGCAGCTGCTTCACCGATGCAGGGCGGGCCGTGTTCACGCTCGGAGAGGCACCCACGAGGCCACAACGCAACCCCTAAGAGGCTCCGACAAGCTGGCCAGAACCGCCCGCGAGGCCCACACAGGCCCCCAGAAGCCCAGATGGCGCCCAAGAGGCCCTCTCCTCGCCCCTCCTCTCCAGTCCCTCTCTCCGTCTCCCTTTTTCGTGTTGTATCCCCCTTCCCTTCTCCTTCCACCTCATCTATCCTTTGCTCCTTCCTCCCTCCGCCTCCCTCGCGCAGCTTCCTGCCGTGCGAATGTAAGTCTCGCCATGACGCCGCGCACACTCGTCTCAAAAACACTTTGCAGCAGCTGCACGGATGGATGGGGAGGGCGGGAGGCTATCCACGTGTTGCTAGCGCCGCGCACGCTTGTCTTACACATGTTGCAAGCCTTTCACTGGTGGAGGGCGGGTCCTTCTCAATTCGATTATCTCGCATTCGCGCCGCGCACCTTCGTCTCAAAAGTTTGCAGCAGTTTTGAATATTGATGGCGGTTGTGTGGCTCTCGCCTTCGCGCCGCGCGCAGTTCTGTTACACGTTGTTCGTGCGGTCGGAGTCCCAGGTCCCAGGAATTGTGCTTGGCACGAGCTACGATTGGCAGGACGCAACAGTCATGTTGATTTGCGGTATCGACGTCCCAGGAATAGTGTCTTGGCACGCTTCAGGGTTGTCTGGACCAGTCATGCTGATCCGCGGCGCTGAAGTCACAAGAGTAGTGTCTCAGCACGATCGATGATTCTCGGGCGGCTGTCCTTTCACCGGAACGTTCCGCAATGAACATGAATTCTTGTTGGGACCTATGAGAGGAAGAACCTATGAAGAGGGCACTTGGACGGAAGGTTATTGCAACAGCTTTGATGCGTCTTGGGTTTACATTGGTGCTCCTCCTCCTGCTCCTCCTGCTCCTCCTCCTCCTCCTGCTCCTCCTCCTCCTCCTCCTCCTCCTCCTCTTCCTCATGGGCTTATCTGACTGCCTGAATGCACTGGGACCACCTCCTCGCACCAGGAAGGTGTACGACGAACTGTTGGTCTGCAATTCTCCGGCGTCCTCGGGCGCCTGGCCCGGGAAGCCAGCAAAAGGCCGACCACTATAGAACACACGTCCCGCGGGAAGGCGTCGGGTCTGCTGGGGGTCTGCGTTGGTTTAAACACACGCCTCCGGAAGTCCAGGGGACCGAAGGAGGAGCAGGAGGAGGAGGAGGAGAAAGAAGAGGAGGAGGAGGAGGAGGAGGAGGAGTTAGCCAGTCCGTAGCCATTTTGGCTCAAGCCATTTTGGCTCAAGGCGGCTGGCTCGAGGCGAGCTGCCCACAGCAGGCTTCCCATCTCACAATCTCCACGGTGAGCCCCCGTGCGGTCGTGTAATATTTCTGTTCTCGCGACGGGTCACGTTTGCCAGTCTCTTCGTTTTGCAGTGCGATGGTGGAGGCACCCTGGCGGAAAAATGCTGGCCAACAAGCCCGTTGGCGTTGTGAGGCATGAGGTTGCGGGAAGAACACGTTAAATATGCATCACTGCAAGCATTGCGGCCGCCATTGTCAGGCAGTATTGTTTCAGGGACGGAGGCGACGACCACAAGCACGAGGGGGGCAAGGACACCAAGGACAAGGGCAAAGGCCGTCGGCCGCTTCTTGCTCTTGGCGATGTGGTTCCTCCTGGTGCCCTGCCGTCCGTGGACAAGATGTCGGGAGAAGAGGTGCAGCAGCTTATCGATATCGCCCGCAAGTCTGGGAATGTGCAGGTCACCGAGCAGCATGAGTTGGCCTGAAGTCCTCGCTGCCCAAGCCGCCTGAGCCTGCTAAGGCCCGCGCGGACCGCTACAGAGGTCAAGAGGCTCGAGCACCAGTTGGACGACCAGGTCGAGCAGCTGTCGGCGATCCAGGCCAAGCTCGAGTTGCAGCGGAGTAAAGTCGAGGAGGCCCAGGCGAGGCTGGCGGAGGCGGACTCGCAGCACACCAGGGCCATCCAGGAGCTGCACGACGAGGTGGCCCAACCTGCCCCCCAACCCCAGCCCGGGGCCTCCGAGCAGACGGCGGCCGCCATTAGCCCCGGGGAGGTACTCGACGGGCACGCCTCTGTCACCTCCAGCGGCGCCTCCACCCTGCTCGCTCTGGCGGGCTGCGAGGATGTGGACCCCGATGATCTGGAGGAGGCCAAGCAGAGGGAGGAGCAGTTGTCCGACGAGCTCCCCAGGCTGGCGCGCGAATCGTTCGGCGCGGCCCGCGACATGGCGGAGAAGTTCAAAGCCGAGCGCGAGCAGGTCAAGGAGCGTTTCCAGGCCAAGACGAGGAAGACGCAGGAGGGCGAGAGCAGCGGATGGGGCGAGGTCCAGCGGCCCTGGGGCCGACACGCCAGCTCCGCCGCCTGCTGAACCTGCTCTTGCGGTCGCGGGGGTCATCGGCATGGGCAAGGGCAAGGGCAAGGTTATCGGTGGCCTGTGGTCCGAGGCCAAGGATCTCCTTGCGGCCACGGCCAAGTCCAGGCCGGCGGCGTCGGGGGCGCCGCAGTCAATTTAGCCAGCAATGTGTCGATGGCGTCGGTGTTGCTCCAGCCGACTGGCCTCTTTCACACGGAGCACATCGCCAGCTGCACCATCTCGGCCAGCCTCGCCTCCCCGTTCCTGGACCAGGAGAGGCTGCCCGCTCCCCCCCCACTACTTGCTGCGCCAAGTGTCGAACAAAAAAGTTGTCAGGATCAGGTGGACGGAGGACTCAGTGCAGGGCTTCCTGGCATCGTGGGAGCAGGCTCGCGTCCTCCAGCGTCCCCATCGTCGGACGAGGGGGCCGCTGCTCCTGTCAGTCCCGGGCACGACGTTCGCATCTCGCTCGCAGGGGGCTCGGCCCAAGGAGGCCAGCTCCCCACGAATCACCTGCCCCACTTCCGAGAGAGCCCCTGGAATCACAGGGCCCAGCTGAGTTCCCCTCTGGGCGCCAACGTGGACCCCGACGTTTCCTGCTGGAGACGTGCGATGCGACGTCTTGGGGATCTCTGCAGGCTTATCTCGAGAAGGAGACTGAGACTTCCATAGTGCTCCTCCAAGAGGTTTGGGTGTTAGGTGACGAGGTCAAGGATCTGTGAGACGCGCTCCGGACGTCGCCAGACCCCCCCGGCCCCCGCCGGGTCAAGGTCGCCCACGTCGCTCGTTCGTTGAAGGAGGCTTCCTGGGAGTCCCGGTGCCCCTTTCCTGCGGGCGACCACTTGGGACCTGAACAGGGCCCCGTTCTTTCGCGCTTGGGGGAGTGCCTCTTCGGCGCGGGCGCCCCCTTCACTATCGGAGCTGATTGGAACTGTGCCCCGCAGCAAGTTTCGGATGGAGGATGGCCAGCGTCTAGGATGCTGTATTGTCGCTGCCCCCGAGCCCACCTGCAGGTCTACTGGGCGCGAGTGGCGCACCGTCGATTTCTCTAGCACTCGTCGGAATAATTCGAAGAATACGAATAGGTTTGCAGACCTAGCTCGAAAGGCAGACCAAAATGAGAGCTCTCGATGGGACAAACAAACGCGCCTGACGATTCTGCAACGGCTTCTGTAAGCACCAGCTTTGTCATACAAAGGGCCAGGCGCAAGGTCTTCGGAGGCGTCCGAAGGAGCGAAGCTTCGCGGGTCAAGACGCGCTGGCCTGCCACCCCCACTCTGTCAGGTAAGCATCTGGACTCGATAGTTCGAGCGCTGCGGAGGCCGAGGGCCGCCCCCTCGCGAGCGTCCAGTCGGGCCAGCTCGTCGGCCGCCAGACTGGAGCCAGCCGGTTGCCACCGCCGAGGCCAGAGGCTCGCAGCAGCAGCTAGACACGGCTTTCCCCGCTGTTTTTCCAGAAGTCGGGAGATGATTTATCCGCGGCACACGGCATCGACCCGCGGGGGGCGTCCCAAGCATTGGGGGAGGGGCCAAACTCCTCGCTTTGTCTGGTCGCCTGCTCTGCGGGCGTCTGGAGGGGCTTATCCCATCGGTTCTTCTGAACCCAGGGGCTGGATGCAGGTGGCCAAGTCTCGTGGGGAGATGAAGATTGCGCGTGTTCTCCACAGGTTGGTCAAAGGTCCTGCTCGGCTCCAGGCGCGCAAGGAATGGTCGGGCTGCATGCCGCCGCTCGAGACATTCTTCCTGCGCTCCACCAAAGAGTGGCACGACGTGTTTGTCCAGGCCACCACGCTGGCCACCAAGTGCGAGCAGCGTTTCAAGTCCGAGAGACGAGCCAGGTGGCGAGCCCGGGTGGCACAAGCAGCTCGCTCGTGGAGCGGAAGAGCCCGCAAATGCACCAAACCTGCGGCCGTTCGGGTCCCGGGTGGCGGTCTGGAAGGGGGCCCTCCGCCAGGACCTCAGCAGCGAGTCGATGAGATGTTCAATTCCTGGACCAAGGTCTGGGCGCCCCCCCGCCCTTGCGCCGACGAGTTCCCCGACCCCGCCCCCCTTTTCAACCTGGAGCTCCCTGGGCAGGCTCAGGCGGGTTGAGATGCTGCCGCTGATCTCTGCCCTTGGCAGCGTTAGCCAGGAGAGATCCGAGCTGTCGCCGGAAAGTTCAAGCCCTGCACCGCCATGGGGGCCGACGTGCTCCGCCCGCGGTATTTCGGGAACCTGTCCGATGGGGCTCTGGAGCGCGTGGGGTTGCTCTGGTATTGGCAGGAGGTCGAGGGGCCCCTAAGCTCCTGCATCTGACTGATCCTCGCGGCCCAGTCGTTGAAACCTGAAGGAGGGTACCGGCCCATTGGGGTCGTGACTGGCGCGTCTCGGGTCTGCAGCAAGCTCGACAGGTACGAGGCGGTGTCTCGGGGGGAAGATGGCGCGCGCGACGATATCCGCGGGGTCCAAGGGCGACCGCGCGAGCAGGACGTCTGGGAGCAGAGCCCGTCAGTCGAACATGTGAACTTCAGGGGGGGCACTGCGGGCATCGCCCTCTTGGGCCTCGCATAGGCCCGCGAGAAAGTGCGCCGCTGCCCTCTCATCCTCGCCGCGCTGAAGCGGGGGCCTTCGTCTCCATGTTGCAGTGCCGTGCCCCACGGGTGCTCAGTCTTGCTGGGGTTTGCTCAGCGAGCACGGAGGTCTTCCAGACTATCTTCGCAGGCTGCCCGCTTGCGACCACGCTGCATGGCATGTTTCATCAGGGCCCCCTGGATGATCGAGTCGCGGCGGTCGGTGTTCCCCTTTCGAATTGGTTGATGATTTTGCTCTCTTCACGTCGGGGCCAGCCGAGATTGTCCAGTCCTGGTTGGGCAACGCGACAGTTCATGCGCACCTCAGTCCGGAAAGGTTGTGCCCGGTCATCTCGGATTCCAAGGGGGGGGGCGCCCCCCTCGTGCAAGGCGGTCGCCCAGGGGATTGCTCGCAGGGTCGTTCGCTGGAAATTCGCGAGGCGGCCGGCGCCGCGGGGGGCCTTGGGCGCGCCCCTGGGACGAGCCCCAAGGGGCTCAAGGCCAAGAAGGTGATCATCTTCAGGTTCGGAAAGATCAGGGCCAGGACATCCAAGTTCATCAGATTGACGAGTTCCTTCCACGGCCTCATGATGATTTGTCGGGGGAGGAGCGTTACCTGCGGGGCTGCACGGTACTTGTGTCCAATGCGTGACAGACAGCCGTGCCGAAGGGCTCAGGGCCGCTCTGGCGCATTCAAGTTTTGGCGCGGCTCAAGGCAGAAGCCGCGCTCTCGAGTTCACGCCATCCAGTTGCCCTGCCTCGGACCCAGAGTGCCAGGCCAACATCTCGCAGCTCGTCGCCTGGGGCCGCGCGGCCCGCGACGGGGGAGGCGGCGCGCGAAACCGTGCGTGCGCGTGTTTCTGCTGCTCAGTCTGCGCCGTGTTTTGCGTGGCAGGATGTTCGCGGGCCAGCTGGCGTGGTCGCGCTCGCCCTTCGCCATTTGGGATGGGAGGTCCCCAGGTGGCACCAGAAGTTCACCTGTGGCGAGAAATCGATTCACGTCTCGGACTTGGGAAGCGTTCCAGCGCCAAATTTATCCAGGAGGACATCTTCACGCCCATGGGGTTCCGCGTTGGCAAGAAGGTCTGGGGCGCGTCGGGCCCCCCCCCCCGCCCCGCCCTCGCCCCCCGCGCACGCGCACGCCCCGGCCTCTCGCGTCACTCGTCTCTGAGTTTCGTTGGAGGGCTGGAGGTCAGAGCGAGCAGAAGGGCCCGCCTGCTGGCAGGCCTGGTCGCAGGAGGCTTCCCCGCCCAGCGCGATTTGTCCCTGGGCAGGCGCGTCGTCGATCCGAGGTGTCAGCGGTGCAAGGTGGGGGCCGGAGCTCCGCCTCATCGTTTCTTCCGCTGTCCATGAACTCATGGAGCGCGCTAACTCGTGGATCTCGTCACGTCGGCTGGACGAGCCAACGCTGCAAGTGCTGGCCCAGTTATTATCAGCAGGCGCTTGGCCCGCTCACCCGAAGCAGGATGGCCCCACGCAGCGCAGCCCCCTGGCATCAAGTGGGGAAAACGTCCGCTTGGCATGTGCATCGACGGCTCTGCGATCGACCCCGACTTCCCTCTTGCCCGCGGGGGATGGGCCACGGTCGCCAGGGCGGGGTGCTCGCGCGAAATCGCGGGCTCGTGCTACGAGCCCCTTCCCCACCCCATCCAGGAGTCGAGTCGCGGCGAAGCACGCGCCCTTTGGATGGTCCTTCAGTAGGCAGGAGCAGGAAAAAAAACGCGATCGTGACCGACTGCAGGATACGGGCTGTTGTTTGGCAGCAGGGGCCCGACCGGCCCGCGGAGCGCCCTGCCTTCATCGAGTTGTGGAAGCTCATCTTCGAGAAAGGCGAAGACATGGGCCGTTCGAGTATCTTGCTCGTCAAAATCAAGTCCCATCTCTTCCTCCACTGGGCTCTGCAGCAGGGGCGTCAGGTCTGGGCCTGGAAAGGGAATCAGGAGGCTGACAGGTTGGCCGCGTTGGGTGCCCGGTGCCACCCACACAACCCTCATGTCAGAGATCTATACGTCTCTCTCAGGGAGCAGGTACGTATGTTAGGACAGTTGCAGCCGTCTTTTTACGTGCTCTCTCGGAGGGAGATGTTGCAGATGTGGAGAAGGTGGGGCCCCCCAAGAGGCTGAAACCGTCTACCCAATGGACATGACGTCAGCAGATATGATCAGGGCAGCCATCGTTTTTTTGTTGTGCCACCTGGGGGGTATGACTGCCTCTCGGACAGTACTTTGCTGCGCACCGCGCAGCGGATTTCCCAGGTTGGCCAGGCTTGCCCGCAGCTCTCACAAGTTGTTGGTAGGCGTTGGTGCGGACCCTTCGGCACCTCGTGATCTGTGCACCTCCTCGTGAAAAGCCGTAGAAGGGCCCAGGAATAAAGGTACAGGTCAGTCTTTGGCGCATTTGAAGAACGGGGTGGGCCCCTCCTCCACGCAATCGTTTGGACGGATTTGGCCAGTCTCGCCGAGGCCGCCCTAGCCTGGTCACATATTCCTTCCCAGGCGGGCTGCCCTTTGTCCACCCCCGTCGTTTTTGTTTGTCTCTCTCTCTCTCTCTCTTTCTCTCCACCGGGAAGTGCGGCCTTCGGGAGGTAGACTGCTGAGCCAGAGGAGCAAATGAGCACAGGAAGAGTTCACCAGCGTGATGCATCGCCGGTCTGGAAGAGTATCTGCGCGGGCAAGCATCTGACGCTCGCGGCAGTCCAGCTCGGGGCAATGCATCTTTCTGGACTGCCGCGGGCGTCACATGCTTGCCCGCGCAGATACCCTTCCAGGCCGGCGGTGCGCAACTCGGTTGGAGGAGGCCCTGAGACAGGGTCGAGAACGATTCCTGACTTGACCATGACAGGTCTGATTCAAAGTTTGCCGCATGCTGTTTCGAGCGCCCAAGAAAATCACATGTGGCTGGTGAGGCCCTCGAACTCGCTACGGGCACCCGCGGGCGGTCTCGAGCCCAACTTTGGCTCGAACCGAACTGTTCACGGGGAGGGGGAGGGGAAGGGGGGTGAGCAGGAGGAGAAAGAAGGAGGAGGAGAAGGAGGAAGAGGAGGAGGAGGAGGACGAGGACGAGGACGGGGCGCCGGAGCGGGGCGGGGGGCGAGGAGGTGGCAGCAGGGAAGGGATGGCGAAGGTGGGGCTGAGGGGGGAGGCGCGGGGGGAGGAGAATCAGGGCGACGAGAGGGCGAGGAGGGTGAGCAGGATGGAAAGTATCGGGGGATTGCTTGGAGGCACGGGGAAGAGGGAGGCGGGAAGCTTCCCAACGTCTCTGGGAACTCCTCCGTACGCACAACCCGCCTCTTCCCCCCTCACCCCATCTCGTCCATGTCCTTGCCTTGCCCTGTCCCTTCTCCCATGCTCATGATTATCATCCTCCTGCTCCTGCTCTTGCTTTTGCTCCCCCTTCTCCTCCTCCTTCTCCTCCTCTTCGTTTTTCTCCCTGCCCCCCCTCTCCACCCTCTGATCCTCACCCACGGGTCCCCTGGCCATCCCCCCCATTCGTGCAGGACGAAGGCGGGGAGGACGACCTCCTCATCATGCGCCCCCTGCCTCGAGCGCGACGACGACGATGGCGGCGGCGGCGGCGAGACGCCAGCCCGCAAGCCGCGCGCGAGTGCGGTGAGCCCTCGCGCTGAGGCGGACCTCAAGGCCCACGTCGGCGAGCGCCTCGCCAGCGAGCGCAGCTCCCGCGCGCTCGAGGCGCCCCTCGCGGCGCCCGCGGCGGGGGGTGGCGGGCCCAAGGCGCCTCGTCGCCATGGGGCACCCTGAGATCCTCGGGTTTACTTTTACTCGCCACGGCCGATTCGGCATCCCTTCGGGCCCCGGGACCCTCACGGATCGATCGGGCTCGAAAAATGGCGAAGAAAGATGGGGTCCAGGGCGTGACCCTGGACCCTCACGGATCGATCGGGCCCGAGAGGTGGCGCAGAAAGTTGGGGTCTTTTGTTCTGGGCGTTTTTTCTTTGCATCGGTTGCGTTTGTTTCGCGACGTCGGATCTCAGGGCAGACGGGCAGACCGAGTCCCTGAGGAGCAGGGGGCGCTTGAGTTCTTTCGTCGGGGCACGACAGAGAACCACAACCAGAATTGAGGGGATTTTTCTGTAGGGCCTCTCGGGCGAGAACCCACCGACCTCAGCATGAACTATTGGGTTGTGGTTGCGGTCGATTTGGTCGTCCGGGACACCCACATCGACCACCACCAATGCTAAGCTGGTTTCGGTGTTCTGACGACTGCTGGCATGTAGTCGCCTGCGTTCCCCGCATGTCGCCGCTCTCGGGGCCCAGGGCAGGGATGCCCGGGCGGGGCCGGCGGAGGTTAGAGGTTGGAGGCTCGAGGCTGCCCGCCAGGAGTGACAGGAGTCAGCCACGCGCAGAAGGTGGTGGTCACCACCCACCAAACCACCCCAACCCAACCCGAAGGCCCAAATTTGCCCTCCATTTCCAGTGTGGGGGGGTCGGGGAACGTTGAAAAATCACATGGAACCCGTACCCCCCCCAACCCGAAATTCGGGTCAAATTCGGGTCTTCGGGTTGGGTTGGGGTGGTCTGGTAGGTAGTCAGGTGGGGGGAGGGGGGGGGGGGTCGGAAACTGCAACACATACATCACCAGTGGCGGGCGCTCTTTCAATCCCAGGACTCTTTGTAGGGTCGGGGACAACGCTGGGGTGGTGTGGTGTATACTTGTTTCTCCGATGTCCCGGGGAAACAGCGAAACATGTATACACCAGGGTCCTGTATACACCTGGATCCGCTCTCCAGTGCAAATTCTAATGCAGGGTCGGAGAAAGCGTCGGTGTATAGAGCTCGTTTCCCTACCTCAGACGCCGCGGGCCTCAATCTGTAAGGCCGGCGCCTTCTAAGAAGCAGCCTCCTTCTAAGGAGCCCTCGGCCACGTCCGAAGAGCTGCTCCTGGTAGGGGGGCCCGGGGTCCGGGACCCGCTTGAAACCCGGGGTCCTGGTAGGGGGCCCCGAGGTCCTGGTGGGGGGCCCCGGGGTCCAATTCATGGTGAGGATGAAATTCCGAACCCATATTGCGAAGGCCTTACGGCCGTTGCCGCCGACCCTGAAGATGACGAAAGACAACACGGGGGGGGGCACGAGGATGAGAAGGAGGAGGAGGAGGAGGCGGAAGGGAGTAGGAGGAGGAAGGGTGAAGGGGGAGGAGGAGGAGGCCTTATGGATGTTGGTTAGGATCTCGTGGTTGACCTCTCGGGGGCGGGGGGCCCCGGGGTCCAATTCATGGTCAGGATGAAATTCCGAACCCATATTTATATACATATAACGGCGCACCGGGTCCGGGGGCCCGGGGCCGGGACCTCGACCACAAATGTGCGCCCCGGGGGGCCCGGAGGCTCGTCGGGGCTTGCCGGAGGCCTCCCCAGTCAGACAAGACGGCCCCAGGAGCGCCCAAGACGGCCCAAGAAACTTCCAAGAGGCCTCCAAGAGGGCTCCGAGATGCTGAAGATGGCCTCCAGACGTCCAAGGACGCCCCCAAGACGCCCCAAGAAGCCTCCAACATGCGTCCCAAGAGGGCCCCTAGACGCAAAAATTGGCCCATTCCCTTCGTAAAACGTACATTTTTCACAAAGTCGCCTTTTGGGCTTTCCGACGTTACAGGACGGCCCAAGAGGCGCCCAAGACCGCCCCAAGACGGCCCAAGAAGCTTCCAAGAGGGCCCCAGGACAGCCCAAGAGGGCCCCAAGACGGCCCAAGAGGCGCCCAAGATGGCCCAAGAGGGCCCCAAGACGGGCCCAAGAGGGGGCCCAGAGGGGGACCACGAACCGCAAGCTCGAGCCTTCCGCCCCAAGAGGCCGCCAGGAGGCCCCCAGGAGGCCCCTCAAGAGGCCCCAGGAGACCCCAGACGTCCAAGGACGCCCCCAAGAGGCCCCAAGAAGCCTCCAACATGCGTCCCAAGAGGGCCCCTAGACGCAACAATTTGCCCATTCCCTTCGTAAAACGTACATTTTTCACAAAGTCGCCTTTTGGGCTTTCCGACGTTACAGGACGGCCCAAGAGGCGCCCAAGACCGCCCCAAGACGGCCCAAGAAGCTTCCAAGAGGGCCCCAGGACAGCCCAAGAGGGCCCCAAGACGGCCCAAGAGGCGCCCAAGATGGCCCAAGAGGGCCCCAAGACGGGCCCAAGAGGGGGCCCAGAGGGGGACCACGAACCGCAAGCTCGAGCCTTCCGCCCCAAGAGGCCGCCAGGAGGCCCCCAGGAGGCCCCTCAAGAGGCCCCAGGAGACCCCAGACGTCCAAGGACGCCCCCAAGAGGCCCCAAGAAGCCTCCAACATGCGTCCCAAGAGGGCCCCTAGACGCAAAAATTGGCCCATTCCCTTCGTAAAACGTACATTTTCAACAAAGTTGTCTTTTGGGCTTTCCGACGTTACAGGACGGCCCAAGAGGCGCCCAAGACCGCCCCAAGACGGCCCAAGAAGCTTCCAAGAGGGCCCCAGGACAGCCCAAGAGGGCCCCAAGACGGCCCAAGAGGCGCCCAAGATGGCCCAAGAGGGCCCCAAGACGGGCCCAAGAGGGGGCCCAGAGGGGGACCACGAACCGCAAGCTCGAGCCTTCCGCCCCAAGAGGCCGCCAGGAGGCCATCAGGAGGCCCCTCAAGAGGCCCCAGAAGACCCCCAAGAGGCCCAAAGGGGCCCCTGGGGCTCTGCAGGGGCGCCGGGGACTTCTTAAGATCGCCCGAAGATTGCCCCAGATCTCAAAAATGGCGTTTCCAGGCCGAGAAAAACGACCAACGACGGCCCGAGATTACCCAGAATTCGCTACTGATTGTCCAAGAGGCCTCCAAGACGCCCCAAAAGGCTTCCAAGATGCCTCCCAAAGAACCCCAGGTGGCAAACTTTGGTTTTTGAAAGGTGTTCGAGTTCTCGCCTTTTCAGTTTCCCGACGCTCCCAGACGGCCCAAGAGGCCCCAATGTCCGCTCCAAAACAGCCCCAGAGGCCTCGAAGACTGCCACACGGCGGTCCAAGAAGGCCCCAAGACGGCGCCCGAGAGTGCCCCAAGACGGCCCTAAGAGGGGGCCAAGAGGGGGAACACGAACCGACAATCCGAGCCTTCCACCCCCAGAGGTTCTCGGGAAGCCCCAAGAGGCCCCCAGTAGGATCCAAGAGGCTCCCAAGAAGCTCCCAAGAGTGCCGAAGAGGTTCCAAGAGGCCTCACAAGAAGGTCCCAATAGGCACGCACAATTTGTTTGTCCGATAGCTTTTAACAGTTAAAAGTTTTCAGCCCTTTGGCATCCCGACGCCCCAAGACGGCCCAAGAGGCCTCCAAGACAGTTCCAAGATAGCCGAAGAGGCTTCCAAGAGGGCCCTAGGCGGCCCACGAGGGCCGCAAGACGGTGTTTGAGGCGCCCAAGACGGCCCGAGAGGGCACCAACACGGCCCCAAGAGGCCCAAGAAGGGGAACACGAACCGAAAATCCGAGCCTTCCACCGTCAGAGGTTCTCGGGAAGCCCCAAGAGGCCCCCAATAGGATCCAAGAGGCCCCCAAGAAGTTCCCAAGAGTGCCGACAAGGTTCCAAGAGATCTCCCAAGGTGGCCCCAAGAGGCACAACTCATTGTTTTACGATTGAGTTTTGACGGGCTCAAAATGTTTGAGTCTTTTGACATCCCGATGCTCCAAGACGGCCCAAGAGGATACCGCTCCAATGTAGAGGAAGAGGCCTCCAAGAGGGCCCCTAGACGGCCCACTAGGGCCCCAAGACGGTGCTTGAGGCGCCCAAGACGGCCCGAGAGGGTCCCAAGACAGCCCCAAGATAGGCCCAAGAAGGGGAACGCGAACCCAACAGCAGAGCGTCCCCCCCAAAAGGCCCACAGGAGGCCGCAAGAGGCCCCCAAGTGGTCCGACGAGGACCCCAAAAGCTTCCCGAGGGCCCAAAAGGCCCCTAGGAGACGTCCAAGAGGCCCGAAAATAGCCAAACAGTGCCCCCGATGCGTCAAAACTGCTTCCAGGAAGCCCCCGGGAGGCTTCCGGATTGCTTCAATGTGGCCCCAGGTGGCCTCAAGTCGGGCTTCTACGCAGCCAAGACGGCCAATGACGGCTTCACATAGCAGAACCGATGCCCCCATGGGCGCGTCCCCTGCCGGCGCGTCGCCTGGGGCGTGCTGCGGCGCGTCCTCCTGGCATGTCCCCCCTGTCAGATGTCCCCGCGGCGTGCGCCGCAGAGTGCCCTGTGGCGCTGGGGGCGCGGAAGAAGCGTACTTTTACCATGGATCGTGGCCCTGGCAGCGCGGGCGCTGCGCAACTCGTGAGGGATCGCGGCCCTGGGGGCGCGGACGCAGCGTGATTTGGGAGGGATCGTGGACTGGGGGCGCGGAGACATTTGTAGTCTACCATGGATTCTGGCCCCTCGAGCGCGGAGCAAACAGCATTCACGAGGGATCGCGGCCCTTGAGGCGCGGACGCACGGCGATCCACGGAGGGTCGTGGCCTGGGGAGCGCGGGCGCGGCGTACTTCACGAGGGATCATGGCCCTTGGATCGCGGGCGCAGCGTGATTTACATGGAGTCGTGGCCCTTGGAGCGCGGACGTTGTGCGATTTGTGAGGGATCCTGGCTCTGGGGGCGCGGACGTGGCGTAGTGCACGAGGGATCCGGGCCCTGGACGCGCGTGCCGACGGTTGTCCCTTCGTCAGTGCCACCCCTCCAAACCTCCTCCTCTGCCTTTGGCCGATCCTCCTCTGCCTTTG